CACAGGGCTTGCCTAATACATCCTGCATATCAGATATTTACATTACAATTCATAACAGTAGCAAAATGACAGTGATGAAGTAGCAATGAAAATAATTTGATGGTTGGGGATCACCACAACATGAGGAACTGTATGAAATGGTCTCGGCATTAGGAAGGTTGAGAACCACTGCTCTAAGAGATCTGTATGGCACCCATTCCGAAGAAAGGTGACCCAACAGGATGCAGAAATTATTGAACAATATCATTATTATCCCATGCAAGTGCAATTTTGCTGAAGATCATCTACACAATAGTTGTAGCAGCACATGAACAGGAAGCTGTCAGAAGTCCAGGCTTAATTAAGAAGAGGATGTGGAACATGGGATATTATTGAAGATATCCGAGGATCTTGGCAGAAAGCAGAGAACACTAGAAAGCTATTTACTTTTGTTTTATTGACCATGCCAAGGCATTTGACTATGTGGATCATAATGAACTACGGATAACCTTGAGAAGAATTTCAGAAGATTTCATTGTGCTCATGCAGAACTTGTGCATGGGTCAGAAGGCAGACAGATAACCCAATAAAAGAGGCTGTACTAATCACACACAGCTGGTCACTAGCTTCCCTTGATTTGATCTCAGCCTCACTGGCCTGATTCCAAAGATTCCCATGGACTGTGCCAGCAAGAAGGTAGTTAGTACCTCAAGCAGAGTGTGCCAGATTTAGTACTCTTTGGCGACGAGTAGCTCTCCTGTAAATGATCAGCACAGTACCACCTGCATTAATATGAGTTTGTATCTGGGATCTAGGGGTACTGTTATGCTACACTGGATTCACGGTGGCGACAAATGCCCTTGAATGGGAGTGCAGATGACAAACCAAAGACCTTGTTCTTTGCTCTTTGCAGGGCATTTGCCTCCTTCAAAGGCCATGGATTGCACTATAGCCGTCTACCCTTTCCCTCAACTCCCTGCACGTCAATAGGACCAGGAAGGGAACCTAAATATTTCTTTTTAGAAAATATCAAGTTCTTTCTATGACATCTGGGAAAATACAGCACCGAAGTCAGGAAATCTGCAAGAGTCCAGCAAGGGGAGAGGAGAGAGGGGAAGTGGAAGACAGGAAGGACATCCAGAAAGATTTCTTCAGAAAAGGCAGATGTTCTCCAGCAGCTGACCTCAAAGCAAGTAATGTGTGGAGGAATCACTCCGGCATGGCAGGGAAATTGGACAACTTTCAGAATCTAGTTTTTAATATACTGTGTTAGGTAGGGTTATCAAGAGAAATAAAAAGATAGATGACAGGTAGATAGATGATGGATGGATAGATGGATGGGTAGATAGATAGATATTGAGGGAGAAATTTCTATCAAGAAAATGGAACAAGCAGTTATAGACATGGGTTAAGTCCAGTCCATTTCAAGTCTGTGGGTCCAAATCCTGTTGCTGCCAGGAAGCAAGAGGATACAACAGGCTGGTGATGCAGATGTGGATGAATCCAAGGTCAGCAGGTCAAACTGGTGGCTTCAAAGGCCAATGAATCCAAGGTTGACAGGCTGCTGATGGTTCCTAAGGTCAGCAGGCAATATGGCAGGCTGTTTGCTCAAATCCAAAGAATCTGAGGTTGATGAGCCAGATCAGGGGTTGGCAAACTGCAGCTCAAGATCCATCTTTGGCTCTGTCAGTATGTACATGTGGTTCTGAAGTACAATTGAAATTCTCAAAAGGGTATTATTCAGATAGTGATACATTCGGCCATTTGTAAAAGTATCTTTATGGCTCTTGAATGACCTTTAAATTGTTGTGATGGGCAGGGTTGGCTCTTCTGTCTCAAAAGTTTGCCGACCCCTGCATCAGATCCAGGATCCAGATTCAGTACGAAGTGAGCTAGCTTCCCCAGTGTCCACTCATAGAGGAAGGAAACTTCCTTCCAACACTACCAGGGCTGCAACTTGAGTAAGGGGGTTGCAGTCTACTCTAATCTTCCCCCAACTGCTCGGCTCCTCACAGCAGATCCCAAAATAGAGTTGATTATCTTGTTAGGCCACCTCTTGAGGAGACTATTGCGAACTACCGAGAAACCTGATGCAGCCATGTTGACACAAAAGTTAACTATGACACACATTTTTCATATTTTATATTTCACACAATGCACTGCTATAGGAATATCTATGGGGAAATTAGTAGTTCCATGGTAAAATTGTCTCCTTCCATGGGAGAGTCCTGAGTTCAACTCCCAGGCAATAATCTTCATATGAAAGCCCCCCACCACCACTTTTGTAAGTAGAAGCTTATATGTTGCGAGGCTCCTGAACAAGTTTCAGTGGAGCTTCCAGACTAAGAAAGGCCTGGCGACTTATTTCCAAAGATCAGCCGATGAAAACCCTAAGGATTACAGTGATTGTATCTGCAGCCTATTATGCAAATCGCATCAAGGGATTGCCTTGAGTTTGAGGACCTACTCATTGACCAGGAGCATCAATTAACAGTGCATACAAGGGGGCTTCAAAAAGTTCGTGAGAAGATCTACTTAAAAGATGGTGAAAATTTTCCAGGAACTTTTAAAAAGAAACGAACATATATTTAATACTCAAAAACTTCCACTAATAAGGGTGCACAGCCACAAAGGCATAGAGACCATTGTTTAGAAAAGTTCTTCTCAACCAGGGCAAACAGGACTTGGTGGAGGTGAATCTGCCCAGGCCTTTACCCTGACCTACTGGTGTTTCTGATGGGATAGCAAGAACCCTTGGTTAAGAACCACTGTTTGTAGAGCAGAAGTTCTCGAATGGTCAGCAGAGATCCATGTAGCCCCCCAAGACACTTTAATGAGCTCCTTGTACATCCTGAATCCTAGTGACCTTGCAAAAGGTGTCTAAGACAACATTTTGATGGAAGCGGCAGCCAATACCCAAATCCAAGTTCGCTGATGTTATAGTGATGTCATAGCAGTTCTATAACAGATAGAACTGCTCCTGTGGGTTTCCAAGACTGTAACTCTTCACGGGAATTTTAGAAAGATTAATGGTTCTCCTGCGGAGTGGTCGGTGGGTTCAAACCACTGACCGTGTGGTCAGTAGCCCAACACATAATTGCTACACCACCACAGGCTCCGTTCTGTGGAACAGCTGGTGGGTTTAAACTGTGGACCTTGGTGTTTTCAGTTCAACATTTAACTCACTAGCTACCAGAGCGCCCATCCCCAGGGAAAGGGGTTAGAATAGAAGCACAAATTCTGGGAGGTCATAATTCAATCCATAACCCCTTTCGTTAAAGTGAGTGTATATACCCTCACGAGATTGGACGACTATTCAAGATGTCATTCGGGAACTCTAAATTTGCTCCCTCGCACACCTCCAAACCTGCTCTATTTCCCCAAGGAAGCATGATAATTTGAGTCAGAGGGAATTTGCTAATTACAGGTCACTTCCTGTTTTAGAAATCCTGTTGCCTTAAGGTCAAATGCTTATGCTCATCAGGTTAATTGAGAATTGGTCTTTCTTGCGTGCTCAGTGAGAGATAGGAGGAAGAATGGAGAAAATAGAGGCCAGTTTGGAGACTCTGCGAGTGCCCTGGGTAAGCATTCGCATGGCGCTCCAAGCACGGGTGGCAGGCTATGATGGGCCGAACATGGCCCCCCCTCTGTGCGATCCTCCCTACACAGAAAGAACCAAAATCTTTAAAGAACCAGCGCGTCACTGGGTTCCTGCCAGTTGGCCACGCCTGGCTGAGAATTTGCATTTCCACCTGAGCAATGCTGAATCAGAACCTTCTCTGTAACACACCTAAGAACTACTTCGAAGAGCCTGGGGGCATAGCGGTTAGGGCTGGACTGCTCGCCACAAGGCCAGTTCAAAACCACCCACTGCTCCTCCAGAGAAAGTCGAGGCTTTCTGCTCCCGTCAAGATTTACAGTCTCCCAAACTCACAGAGGCAGATCTACCCTGTCCTATAGGGTCGTGAGGAGTCAGAAGTAACTCAGAGGCGGCGAGAATCACCTGAGGAGCTTGTTGGCATGTAGATAGATGTTGGCAACAGTGTGGCAGAAATAGAACGCAGGCCTGCTGTTTACACATGCGGAGGCAAGTACTAGTGGGTGTGAGGACACGGGCCCGGGACCTGCTTCCAAATATTCCCGCATATAGTGAAGCGAGCTAAAAAGGGCACAGTGAGTAAAACACATTCGGCAAAATGCTGGTTATTGTTGGAACCGCATGAGGACTCCGGCAGTTCACACACTAGATTCCTGAATTTTCTGTAGGTACCCAATTTTCCACATAAGGTAAAATGAAAAGAAAACGAGACTTCAAGTTGTTTTAATAGGAAGTATGGTTCTAAAATCCGATTTGATCATCAGAATCACCTGGGGAGCTTCAAGGAAGACTCTGGATCTGTCCCAGCTCTCGGATGTGGCTGGTCCTGGTAGCCATTACTGCCATTTGCAGTCCCCCTCCTTCCCCCTTCCCCAACCCGCTGTGGCACATGGAGCCTGAGACCCCTTCCTTCTTCCTCTCACCTGTCTCAGGCTCGCTCTCCTAGTCCTTCCTCGCTCACCTGTCTCTGGTCCTCTCCCCCTTCTGTAGTCAGTCCAAGAACAGGGACACGCAGAGGGGTACAAAGAGAACCTAGCTGTGGTTGTGTGGACTGTGCCCCTCGTGGAAACGTCACGTGTCATGGCTGCTTCAGAAGGACATCCCCCAGGCCTCCAAGGAGAGTCACACAGCCTACCTTCCAGTTGACAAGAGTATTAAAGCCTATAGCACGAAGGCACGCTGCAGTGTTTCCCACTGGGCACAGGGTACCCACCAGCCTGCCACGCTGCCATCTGGGCTTCTGTTTTCACAAGGACACCAGAGCCTCGTCCTTGAGTACACAGCTCCACTGCAAGCAGTAGTTCTTAACACTTATGTGCTGTCAGCGTGAGCGGTGTAGATGAAGACAAAAAGGGGTTCGGGAACTAGAGTCTTGACATGTCCTCTCTTTTTTTCTATCACTCATAGACATAAAACCAGCAGCTTAGGATCTTAAATAATTTATTTAATATTCACTCTTTTCAAAAGTGACGTTACGTTATTCATGAAAACATCAAGAAATCCAATCAAATGTACAGAGGTGTTCTACTAGGGAAAACTAAATGTGCAAATTTCAAATACTTTCTATAATAAGTATAAATAATTCAATTTTTTCACATTAAGCATGAAAATATTGATACACACAAAATATTAAAATATCACCTTTGAAAGAACTAGATGAGAACACTGGCGCTTGCCTGCTATCTTTGGAAAGAGATGGTCAAGACTGGCATCAGAAAAGAACAACAGGGCCTCAGAGAAGCCCGGAGGGCAAAGGGAAGGTGCCACTGCCTTGGAGGGGGCGGGGATTTTCCCGTCCTGAATTCCACACCGAACAGCGGCCTCCTGCACCTCTGAGGAAACTCTTTCTCCACCTTTTTACTTGTTGGCAGCAGCAGAGTCAGGAGAGACACTGCAGACCAGGAAGAGAAAGCTGCGGCCTCGGGCTTATGGGGACCTGGTTGGTCTTCCTGGGACATCGGGCACAGGAAGCTGCCCAGCACCTCAGGATACACACTGTTGCCCCGCAAATAAAAACCCACCATTCCAGGCGGTCTTCTGCTCCTTCCCAACCTTCTCTCTAAGGAGGTAGGACACTCAGAGGCATCGACAAGAGTATAAAGAGATGTCTTAGCGTACGGCTGGGAAGTGTCTCTGGCCAAAGCGGCTGCTGCTTCAGAGTGGTATTTTAATGAATTTGCGCTGGGTCCTGCCATTCCTCCTTTCCCCAGGCGAAGGCAAGCCCAGGGAGCCCCAGAGGCCGAGGACCCGCTGCGGGCAGGGACTGGTCAGGTCCTAGACTCTGCCCAGCATGACTCTCACCTCAAGAAGGCACGTCGCCCCACCCTCCCAAAGCAGAAGAAACATCTTCATTTCAATGACCTTGACGTTTGTAATAAAATAAATAAAGTGAATCACACAGCATGCTCCCTTTATAAAGGCAGCTGGTCAAGTTCATATAAGCCGGGTACAGAAGTGCACCCCCCCAAAAAAAAACAACAAAAAAAACCCCCAACAACCAGAAAACAGGTTATTATTAATCAGTCTTCTACTCAAACTTCTAGGCAGCATGACATCTTAGGAAAATGTCCCCTCATACATAAGGGTGTATTATATATATACACATGTGGACACACACCTCGAGGCAGGTGAACTCTGTCGAAGGCCACAACCAGAAGAGTACTACAGCGTGTTCTATCCAAGTCTCCGGATCTCTCGAAGGTGCATGTGGTCCGAGCAGCGTGTTGTGTGCTTTTCAGTGCAAGCTTCGTCTCAGCAGCCTCAGAATCACAGTCTACGGACAGCTCCGCTTTTGCCATGCCCAAAGGAAAGGGACCAGGCAGCCAGGAACCGACAGGAAGAAACCCTGAACTGACTGACACACTCCCAGTATGTCCGTTTTCCCTGAGCTTCCTGGAGCTTCTTGTGGAGGGCCTTGGGGCCCCAGGACTCAGCTCTGGATTCCCCGACCTGCCTGCCTGCCTGTCTTCTCCCTTCTCTCCAGCTGTTACTGCCATCCTGGTGGGTAGGATGCGGGGTGAGGTCCGGTCCAGGCACATACTACTCCAAGTCCATCAAGGCCCCCAGTTTCCCACTCAGTGTGAGGACCAATAGCCCCGGGCCAACACTTCCCACCACGCAACCTTTACAGCAAGATGGGCACATTGCCAGGTTACCAAGGGAGCTTATCTTTCCTTTCCCTTCTCAAAGGGATCCTGGCGCCCACCCACTCTGGCGGCGGGAACTGATGCCCCAGTGGCATCAGCGGTTCAGAGAATAGCACCATGGTGACGAACAGCTCTGGGCCCCTCTGGACTGGGCTGGCCCGCCTGGGTCTGCCTACCCATACATCTGCTTGAACTGGAAGCACTCGTTGCAATAGCCACTGCACTTGGCGTTACCGAAGTGCTCACAGGCAGGGGCCCGGCAGCGCTGCTTGGGGGGCTCGTCGGGCGCTGGTGGGGCGCCGGGGTGGGGTGCCAGGGCCACGCGTTGGCTGAGGTGCTGGCACTCCATGCAGAGTTCCTCGCTGCGACAGGCCAGGATGTTCTTGCAGGCAGCCTGGGCACACTTGGGCCTGGACAAGCTCTGGGTGGTTCGAGGCAGGTCTCGGAGCTGGCTAGACCTCTGGCAAGGGGCAAAGAGAGAGAATGCATCTTAGGGAGAGCGAGCACATGGGACCCCACGGTGGTGAGGAGTCTACACCCAGCCTGATGGGGGACAGAACATCTGCCTGACCAAGACATAAGACGAGCCAGCTTACGAGCAGGGACACCCTCCGACCCCAAGGAAAGCCAGGGGCCCCAAGGAGACTGAGCAGGACCACAGAAACCTGGCCAGCCTTGTTTTGTGGGCCCATTTCCTAACGTTAAGCTAGGAGCTCGGGTGCCCCGTGGATACTCTTTGGGCTGCTGTCTGCAGGGCCCGCAGTATGAAGCCACCAGCCGTGCCAAGGGGGAGGATGGGGCTTTCTAGTCCCATGAAAAGATATCAAAGAGTTCAAGAAGGAAGAAAACATTTTGAAAATGATGGTGGCATAAGCGTGCCATTATGCTTGATCTAATTGAATTACGGATTGTTATAATATCTCTAAGAGCTCCCAATAAAAGGACTAGAAAAAAAAAGTTACAGTCTCGGAAACTCAGAGGAGCAAGGGTCTACCCTGTCCTCTGGGGTCGCAGGTTGAAAAGGACGGATGGCAGTGAGTTACCACTAAGATGTCTTTTTTTTAAGATAGCTTTCCGACTCGCATCCTCGGAGCAGCGTAAGAAGTCGTGATCAGTCAAAGTTTACTTTTCTTATTCTGACGCAAGTCTGAGCGCAGGTCCCCTGGGGAGCTAGCTCTACCTGCTTGTCTCCTAAGGAAAACCAAGCAGCTAGGTCAAACCAGGTGCCGCGCCGTCAACCCTGGGTGTCCCAGAGAACGGCTTCTCAGGGATTTTGAGGGCTGTGGCCTTCCTGAAGCAGAGCACCCGCTGGCACCTGTAGGCGGGTCTGGATCACTGACTTTTTGGTCCGTAGCCAGCGCTTCACTGCTTGCGCTACTCTGGAGTTGCCCTCCTGGCACGGACTGGGGATTCAGGAACCTCCCCGGCCATTTAGATGGCTTTGCTTATGTGCTACAAGTTGAGGTTGTTTCTGACATCTAGCGTGCTGGGCGCTTCAAGATGTTGTAGTCTTTGGTCAATTTGACTGGCTTTTGGTGCAGTAAACGGTGGACACAACGATTTACGGGAGCTGCTCCCCTTCTGCCCTTGGGAGCCACAGTGACCGACAGGGACTCTGTGCTCAGGCTCCGTGGGAGGGTATCTGGCGATGGCAGGAAGTCACTGCCCCGGCAGGGACCTGCAAGCCCAAGCAGGGAAGGGCCTCCCGGTGTCTCACCAGTTGCTCTTCGGTCCTCTTGGCGTCATGAAATCTCTGATTCTGGGCTTTGATGAAGCACTTCTGGCAGTACCCTTCAAACACCGTGCTTCCCAGGCTGCCGCATTCCCGCCCCAGGCAGGGGACTGAGTTCTGGAACCTGGAGCCCGGGGGACTGGCTCTCCCTGAGTTAGCCACGAGATCTGGAGAACAGAGTGATGCACGGTAAGTACCACAGAGGAGTCACCAGGCAGGGCCAGGGATGGCGACATTAGGGAAATAAATGGGTCCCACACACCAGCTGCCATCCAGTGGATGCTGACTCACAGCCACCCCAGCTGTGTCAGACTGGGGCTGTGCTACTGGGGGGGGGGGGGGGCCCTAGAGCTGAGCCTTTCGAAAACAGATCACCAGGACTTTCTTCTGAGGTGCTTCCGGGGCGGTTGGAACCACCAACCTTTCCATGAGTAGGCTCAATCTCCACACACAGATTAATCTCAGCCAAGCTTACTACTTACATAAAACCAGCCTTTTATAGTTTAACTTTTTTGTTTAATGCTATTTCTGAAACATCTTTGGCTTCACAAATCTCTCCCAGTGGACACACGCTGCAGCTGAGCCACAGGGTCAGCCTAAAAAGGCAGACCCGACCGCCATCCAACCTTCTCTCAAACCAGAGTCTGCGGTCACGATTGCTCTCCTAATGTCGGTGACCACTTCCCTCTCCCCAGTGGGTCGGGTTCAGAGGTCTGTCTACCAGACCCACTTTCAGAATTCGAATTTAAGACTCCTGGCGAGAAATGCCCAGCACCTCCCGACAGACACATTCCGGAGGTGGAGTGGATGGCACAATGGTCTGCTCACGGCAAGGTCGGTATTGCCAGACCGAGTTCGAAACCAGCCACTCGGCAGGAGAAAGAAGTGCTCTCTACTCCCCTGCAGTCAGCCTCAGAAACCCACAGGGGCAGGTCTACCCTGTCCTGTACGGTCGCTATGAGTCAGCGTCAGCTGGATGGGAGGGGATTTAGTTTTGTTTGCTTTTTCTCTTCTGGACAGGGTGCTCTACGGGCTGCGGCCACTATGCAGAGCCTCTGCCCGTTGTGCGCTTATCACAGCCAGTGACACACAGGCAGACCAACCATCCTAGCACTGCCCCGACGGCCCCTCCCCTCCATCTCGGAGGATCAAAGCCCCTCAGGTGAGCAGCAGCTGTACTCGGAAGGACAGGCCTCACTCACGTTTGTTCTCTCTGTACTCGATGTAGCACAGGGTGCAGAAACCCTTCTTTTCCGGCGTCCCGAAGTAGGTGCAGCTGGCTTTGCGACACTTGCTTGTGCCCATCCTGTCCTCGGGAGTCCGTGCAGCCTGGCTCAGGTGGCCCGGTGGGCCCTCCGTCCCGGCTCTGTGGCAAGAATGTGGGGTGAGGCTCTGGATGAGCTGAGAGGGGTCCGACTTGGAGCGCTGGTGACAGGAAGGAGAGCCACTGGCGCCGAGGATGGAGGAGGGCTGGGCCGTAGTCCTTTTGAAGCAGGCACTGCAGATGCCATTAAACGTCCTGCCGGCATCCTGGAGGCAGGCTCGGCACTTACCAGGATCTGCATGCCTCGTGGGGTCCGCGCTGTGGCTGGGGATCAGCTGCCGGGCCTGGTGGCACCGCTCACAGAATCCATTGTGCTGCACGTTCAGCGTGAACGGGCAGCCGGGGCTCCTGCACTTCATGGCAGTGGTCTCGCTGAACAGAAACAGGCTGGGCGCGGTCGGCGGGGCTGAGTGGGGTCCCCCCTCGGGCTCCTCGGGGGTCCAGGCCTCACCCCGGGAGGCCCCGAGCACCAAGCCAGAGAGCCCCTCGGGGCCCAGCTTAGGGTTCAGCTTTGGGAGTTTCTTTTGACTTTTCCGCCGCCTCTCTGAGCACTCGTGGCAAAACGGCTGGGTGTTGACGGACATGAAGAAAGGACAGTTCGGTGTCTCACATTTCACGTCCATGAGCGAAAGCTGGGGTTCCAGAGGATTCTGGGGGTGCACTTCTCTCCGTCCCTGTTCGTTGTTCTCCTGCCACTTCTTGTACTCGTGCTGAACCAGCTCAAAGTAGTCATCCACCAGGCTGATTTCTTTGGGTAAGTTAGCTTCATCCAACCTAAAGATCAAGAGGGAAGAGATGAGCACACACGCCGTCAATCCTACACCATTGGCTCAGGGAGCACACATCCCCAATGCGGCAACGGCGGGCACTATGATCAGCACCCACTGAAGCGCAGGCCTGGGACGCAGAGCTGGCACCCCGACTGCCACGGCAGGATCCAGTCCATCCACCGACACGCTCGCGCTACAGTCGAGCATGAAGTGCGGGAGTCCGTCGTTCCGATGAAGTCCCAGCTTTATGGAAGGAGCTATGGGTAATTCCAAAGAAAGAGCTAGGCTGGGTCGACTTTCCCCGCACTGCTCAGCTGCTCCTCTGAAAAGCCACTTTGGTTTCCTAACTTCTCAGAGACCACATGTCTAGTGAAACCACACCTAGTGCTTGCTCAGCGCAGGTTCCCGCTGTGGTACAATGGCTCTGAAACGCCGTGTTCCGTACTTTGTTGTCAGTCATCTTACGCTTCATCTCCACTTGAGTTCACTGCCCTGCAGTAACTCCGAGGCACACAGACACAGGCACTACCTGGTCACTCCTGATGGAGCTAACATGCTTGGCAGCTAGCGTGAAGCGGAAGGTGGGAGGGACGAACTCACGAGCCACTCGGAGGGTAAAAAAGAGGTGGCAGGTTGCTCCCTTCAAGATTACAGTCCTCGAATGTTCTGTGGCCATCCACAAGTCTAGCCAAAGACTGAAATAGGAGTGTGGGGTACAGTGTGCCTTGTGGTATTGGGCAGTCATGCATCAAATGCTGCTCATCCATTAAAGTTTTGTTTTCAGCTGTTTGGCTGTGTTGTTGGGAGGATCGCTAAGAATTAGTCGCAAAGGACTGGGGAAAATACTGGCATGTGGCCCATTTCGCAGTTTCTGTTGCAGGAAGCCACCACACTACACCACCAGTGGCACCCAGGACTTCCTGTATAGAGGCTATTGCAAATATTGTTCTGAAATTCTTAACTTCAGGATTACATTTTTTTCCCAAGTGAATAGCTGTTTGAAAACTACTTTGTAAAGTACACTGGAATTTCTGGAGTACAGCTGAAACTCGCAGCACTGACACACGTGATGTGCATGATTTAATAACTCCACTCTCCCTAAAAGGGAACGAGGGCAGTCTCACAAGTGCTCCGGGGCAGCTCTCGCCTGCCTGCAGGGTGGCTATGAGTCAGCAGAGGCTGGACTGGGATCATCTGCACCTGAGAAATGGCACGGGACAAAGATCTCACAGGGGCCCTCTCTGGTGCAACACCTCTAGTTCTCAGAAACAGACATGTCTTTCGCATAACATTAGGCCCCGATACTTGGAAATGTGGATAGCGCACACTGTGGGCCTCTCTCCCCATTTGCCTGCGGTGAAAACCATGTAGCCATCACATAACACATTTTACAATTGTCTGTCTGGCATGGCTAGCCTCGCCATGCAGCCCAGGGAGAAGAGCTTTTCTTTCCACCGGCTTCTGCGGCTAGTCTTTCTTCCGGAGCCCTTGGGTACTTGAACACTAACCATAAGGTGGGTGGTCTGCCACCACCACCCAGAAGTGCCTCAGAATAAAGGCCTGGCTAGCTGCTCTTGGAAGGTCAAAGCCTTTTCCGAAGGAATCACCATTCTGCAATGCCTACGGTTGTCAGGAGTCAGAATCAACTCGATGGCAACTGGTCTCCTTCCTAGGATGACTGAAACAGCTCCCCCCCCCTACTCCCCACAGCGGAAGCGGACACTGAAACCCCACCATCCTCAGCATCCACATATCCAGAAAAACCCCCTGGGTGAATGACTTGTTCTTATTTGAAACTGAAGGCAGACCTGCTAATGCGATCCTCTCAGACACACGCCCGGGAGGAAAAGAAATAGGCTTAAATCCCGTGTCTGCTGAGCTGGGGGTGGCCAGCAGTGTAGCAGGGTGAAGTGGTAATGGTAGCGAAAGGTGAAGGCAGAGACACAAAGCACAGGCTTACTTCGCAGCATTGATCAGGTGGGTGGTGCCGAGGTCCCAGCCTTGGACGGGGATTTCTATCACCATCAAGTACTCTTTCAATAGCGTTTCCTTCATCTCGTTTTCAGGATCTGTCAGGAAGTGAACTCTGAAATCTTCAAATCGCCCTCGGTCTCTGTTCACCAGTGGAACGGCTCGGATTTCTGTGGGGGGAGACGGGGGAGGGCGTGTGAGAAAGAGAGTATCCCACCCGGTGAGGTGCAGGTGAGGCACACGGATAGACGACTAGATCTTGCACATACCCAAAGGATACCATTAAAGAAGGGCAAGTATTTTCTAGCCACAGTTAAAGCCAAGTGGGAAAGCATAGCATTGCTCGACTCTAGTACGAGACGCGTGGTTTCCAGGAACAGCCTCATAGGAGAGTGAGCAGAAGCCAGGGAGCAGATCTTGCCAGTCCATTCCCGTGCTTCCGAATCAGATGGACTCGAGATGGGATCTTAGCTTTGCCACTATCCGTGACACGAGACAGGCTATTTAATCTCTCCGAGCTCCAAGAGCCTCATCTGCAGGCTATACGGTTGAAATAAAATACAACCAAGTATGCAAAGCACCAGCAGTGCCTACTCCCCTAGGAAGTGACCTACACAGTAACAGGTGACAAGGATAGACTAGACATTGACCTGCTGCATTAAGGACTGGTGTAAAGAGCTCTGTGAGCCATGACTTATTACGTATCAGTGACGGAAGCTGTGGTGTTTACCATCGAGCTGATCCTCACCCCTGGCAGCCCCGTGTGTGTCAGAGTAGAATTGTCCTCCCCAGGGTTTGCAATGGCTGTTTTTTTGGCATTAGATCTCCAGGTCTTTTTTCTGAGGCCGCTCTGGGTGGACTAACTTCCAGCAATCGGTTAGCAGCAATGGACATTAACCATGTGCACCACCCAAGGACTCAGTAACCATATACATATCCATCGCCCACTGACTACGAATGGAAGGAGCCCTGGCGGCATAGTGGGCAATGCGCTGGGCTGCTAACCAAAAGGTCAGTAACTCGAACCCACCAGCCACTCCTTGGGAAAAAGATGAGATGTTCTGCTTCTGTAAGGGTTTGCAGCCTCGGAAACCCACAGGCACAGTTCTGCCCTGCCCGAGATGGTTGCTGTGAGTCAGACTTTACTCAAGGGCATTGCATTTTTTGGTTTTAGTACAAACAGGCCCATTGGAAGTGCCCTCCCAACAATCACACAAGGGTCAAAAAGAGAAGGGGAGGTTACGATTGCTACTACTGTAGTACTGTTACTAACCAAGGAAGTAATTTACTTAAATAAAACTCGTGCTGAAAGCCGCAGAAGAGCAAAGCCTGCTAGCTCAGCGAGAACGGATGCACCGGAGCTCACAGAAGTTACAAATGTGAACCCGTGCTGTGTTCTTACCAGGCCCGCTGTCCTTGAAGGTGACCAAGGGGACAAAGTGTTGGCTGTCGTAGCCAAGAACAATTGGGTATCTGTAGCATTCTTGAGCCGGCCAGTGGAGAGGCAAGTAAATTCCCCCCACCTTCAAAGGAGCAAAATTTGAACCAGATTCCAAACTTCTCAGCATTTTGTCTGTGTAGAGAAAGAGAAAACAAAAATAAACAAATAAGGTCCCCCAAACGAATGTCCTCAAACTCCACTGAGCTCCAGCGATCTGTAGCTTTGGTGGAGAGCCAATGCACTGTTCTTACACCCAACCAGCCATCGGAAGGCTGCCCACCTGCGATGACGATGATGGGCCTTCTGAGAATATTACACAGGACAAAGATGTGTATCTCTTCCAGAGAGTGGTACTGAAGTCGGCCCCGGGCCCCCGGAGTGTCTGTGGATGCCATTTTCACAAGGGTTTCCCATTCATCATTCCAGTTCTGAGGGGATGAAGAAGGAAAAAAATGTTACTTTGCACTAAAATATCCCTCTGACTTCATTCATACTAGCATTATTCATGGATAGAACTCAGCTTATTACCCCCTCTCCCTTTTGCTAAACAATGATCAGCATGATCACTCTTTCTCTCCATTTGGGCTGTTTTCCACTCCCCGGCAAAAGGGAGGGAGGATGGGGACAGCACCTGCTTCAAAAGGATCATAGTAACAATAACCCTGACAAGGCATAAACTCGGAGCCCCTCATCCAAACGCAGGCAGAAATCCCAAGCTTGGGACTGAGAATGGCGAACATGTGGCCGAGTGCGATGTGCTGGCTCAGCAACGCACGCGAGGTGCCCAGACTAAAGCCCAACACGCACTGCCTGTGAAAAGGCGACAGTCACAGGGCCATCTGAGCAAGTGAAGGACCCCACTGACCGGAGCCTCTGAGCAGAGACCCGGGTTATCCCATGGGAGAGTTCCTGGTGTTTTCCACTGAGTAGGCTGTGTGCGGCCGGATTCACATGACCTCACTCCCTGCCCTCCAGTCACATCTGACTCACAGCGACCCTACAGACTGGTTAGCACTGTCCCTGTGGGTTTCCAAGACTGTCCGTCTTTTAACAGGGGTAGAAAGCCTCATCTTTCTCCCACAGAATAGCTGGTGGTTTCAAAATGCGGGCCTCGGGGTTTACAGTCGAACTTGTAACTAAACCAGGGACTGGGCCTATGCTTCCCTCAGTCCATTTCTTGGAAGAAGTATAGCCAGAATGCCCCTTTCCATGTGCTCTCGGGAGGGACTGGGCCCTACAGGAGGCTAGCACATCATGCTGGGTAGAGCAGAGGGCCAGGGCGCAAGACAAGATGGTCGTTGACAAGACGGACTAACACAGTGGCTGCAACACGGGGCCCAGATCGACCAACCGTGGTGAGGAGGACGCAGGAGCCTGCTGTGCTTTGTCTGTTGTCCGTGGGGTCGCTAAGAGTTGGAACAGACCTGAAAGCACCCCACAGCCACCACCACAACCACCACAACAGACGATCACTATGTAGCTTCCAAGGGGAAGCAAAACATACCCGGGTGTCATAGCAAAGCCCCGTTTCCACAAATTCCTGAGATTTCAGAGACTCCAGTTGCCAGCGGAATTTGAAGTTGCGTGTGTCCGTCTCCTTGAGCGTGCTGAAGAGTGCCTTCCTGAGGACCAAGTCTGTGTCCTGAACGCCCCACATGTACTGAGAAGCAGCATGCATCAGGCAGTTCCCATCCCCTGAGGGCAGAGGAAAAACAAAACAAAACCCAGTAGTTAAGAGGCATTCATTGCAGATAAAACCTGGTGAATGTCTTCAGAGGCAGCAAGTCAGACTGCCACCAGCCACCCCTCTCCTGTCAGTTTGTCCTTCCATGCTGGCTAGCAAGTTGCTGTGAGGGCGGAAGCCATGCCACTGGTATTTCAAGGGCTTGCAGGGTGACCCGGGATGGACAAGTTTCAGGGGAGCTTCCAGATGAAGAGACAGGAGCAGGAGGGCCTGCAGATCTACTTCCAAAAGTCAACCCATGGAAACTTTATGGAGCACGACAGAATGTAGTCTGATAGTGCTGGAAGATGAGGCTCCTAGGTTTGAAGGCACTTAAAACACATAACAGTCCAACAATGAACTTGAGCAAGTCAATGATTGTGAGGACGACACCGTACTCGAGAATGCTGTGTTCTGTTGCATCTTGGCTCTCCATGAGTTAAGGGGACCGGATGGCAACTAACATCAACTCTGCTATCACCGGGGACCCAAGAAGGGAGTATGCAACTCAAATAGTATACTTTCTTAGTCATAAAGAGTCAGCTGCAACGAGTTTACAAGTTTGCATTAATAGTTTCAAAGGGGAAAACAACTCTTTCGGTCTTAGTTTTAAAGAATGGGAAGAACAGAGCAAAGGACACAGAAACTGATCATCAGGGAAAATTGGTTTCAACTCGCCACTGCCACGACCTAGTTGAGGGAAATCCCTTAACCTCTGGGTATTTTTCCTCTCTGTGCCATCAGGCCATCGGATAAGGATCTCAAAAGCCCTGTCCCTTTCAAACATTCCTTGAATTTCGGGCTAAGACTCAGGCACTCTCGCTCTCAGAGGGGACCCAAGCGGTGGTACACACCAACCAGGAAGCAGGCATGGCCAGGGTTCTAGCTAGAAAGGGACTGGTCGGGAGATGACTCACTGGCAAATGACCTGACCCTTCCACTTGAGCCTATGGGGCCAGGGAGTTTCCTCTGCTGATTTATAAAGCGGGATGACACCACTGAGTGACTTACAGTCCTCTTCCTCCTTCCCCCAGAAACGCGCTACGTGGCCCTGTGTGTTAGCAACTGGCAACCATCATGTCCTTTTAAAGAGTTATGCAGTGGCTGGCAGTCTAAATGTGAAGATGAGCACTGACGGTTGTGATTTTGAGGATCTGGGGGATTTTGAGAGGGGGGAAACCACCACCCAGAACCGATTTTTATTCCAGTCATGTGCGGCCCTTTCCAGGTTAAAACGGCAACTTCATGAACTATCTATCTCCCAACCTCCTAAAAACAAATCTTTGGGGGGAATGCTTGATACAGAACAGTCAACTCTCTCCCTTGGCAGGTGCAAACTTCTCTTTCTAGAAGACAAAGACACACTGCTTTCTTACAGTAGTCCTCTGTCACCAGAGCAGTGAAATGATTTTACTAAAAACGAAGCCATTAAAAAGCAAGCAAAGGAAACCCCAACGCACTCAAATCTGTGCACAGCCAGGATCCCTCCACGGCACACACTGAGACTGACTAACTGCAAGAACTCCAACAAATGGACAAGAGAGCGCCATCACTTCAGCCTGTGTCTTGGCAGAAGTGTGGTAACGATCGCCTTCTGTCGAAATTTCCCCTTTGCAAAATCTAGAGCAAAGATAAGGCTTTTTTTCTTCGGCTTGTGCTTACTTTCAGTTCTTTATTGAGATGCACCAGTATAAAATTCCCTAAGCAACATGTGGAATTCCCCAGTGCAAAGTTATTTGACTAGCCATTGAGCAACAGCTATTGTACTTTTTGTTCTAGTGTGCAGACATTTAAACTGCGAGGTGCACCCTGGACTTTCCAAGTGGGTGTGGTCAGAGTGAGCTGGAATAGGGCTACTCATTATACAAGTGAAATGCTACAGCCAATAGACGTTGGGATTTTTCACATGAAGTTTCAATTTTATGCCACCTACTCCCTTCCTCATTCACCCCCTGGCTCATATCCTCAAACACAAACTTGTGAATCGCCCCCTCCTCACACGGCCCATTGACCCTGTGGAACACTCCTGTGGGGGGAGGCCAGAGGTGGGGAAAAAAAGAAAGGGTGCTAATAAAAATTAGGAGGAGGTCACTTGCTTTCCCCTCTTCTGAATGCCTTTTCTTCCCTTTCGCCATAATTTTTTCTTCTTGGACGTGGGGAAAGCATGGAATTCTGAACCTAAAATAACCCCAGTTTCCCAGATGTTATAAAAATGCACGCAGTTTTTGGTAGTTTTATGTCTGCTGTGAATCTTTGTTAATGCGAGTGATAAAGATTTTTGGAAACTGGGTGTTTACTATTTAGACTCCACTTTTTTTTTTTAACTTAAGGAAGTTCAATGAAACCCACCTAATGACATCAGGGAATACTGACGATGGCAATAAAGTTTTCCCCTCTTCTATTATCTTCTGTAGGATAGCACTGTTCCCCACCCTCCCAAAGTGGACTCCATCTCTTTTTTTTGGGGGGGGGGGCAGGTAACAAAATAGGTACATTGAGCCACAAACTGTCAGGCACATCTAACCCCTCATTGATATCACAATCACCAACTTCTTCATATCACTGGATCTCATGCCACGGGCCATGTATCCAATGGCTCTTTTCAGCTCTTCTCTACTAACTCTGCTTCCAAGAGTCTATGCTGCACACACGCAGGCAGTATGTTGTGGGTGCTCAATACCCCACACCAAAGCTAGCTTCTCGCCGGCCCCCCCACCCTAAAAATAAATCACATGTTCATTCCTTACTCTGTTACCCAGGCATGGCCAAAGTTATTGTACTGACCAAGTTCACTCATTTAACATTCTTAGCGAAATCATTGTCAACAATAGTTATCTGCTCTTGGATATAATGTTTTGGAATGGGATGGTTCAGGAAAATCATTGATATGATCTTAGGCGATGTGCATTTAATTGATCATGGAGAGTCCACTTCTGACTCGTGAGAGTGATCTATATCTCTGGAGCAGATATTCTATATGCACTAAGCACTATGCCTGCATGCGCCTGTGAAGGTGCATTGCATACGAAATGGCTACCTGTGGCAAGGCGCACTGGTCGAGAGGACACGAAGAAGCAATCACCAGGAACCACTAAAAAGAAATGAAGTCGAGGTCTAAAGTCTCTGCTAGCAAGCCCAAGTTTGTTCTCACTTCCTAGAACGGGGTCCTGGGCAGAGCCATAGAAACTGGGTCCGTGGGAAGGTGCTACCAGGCCCTCTGTTGTCCTCAGCAGCCATTCATTACGAACACAGACAACACCATCCGTTCAAGAGGCTGGAGCCATCACAAACATTTTCTGATTATCACGGAAAACTACAGTAATTCACGCCAAGCTCTTCTTCTGAACTTACAGCCTGGGCACATTTCCATTCCTGGGGCAGCAAGGCCATTTTACAGATGACTAAGCAGTCGCACCCTGGATACACACAGCATCTAGCCAGGGCTCACTGCTTTCTAACACACACAACCAGAAAACCGCCTCAGCAAACACTCGCCCAACCAGGTGGCTTTTATGGGTCTCTATACAAAAGTGTCCATAGCCTCAAAGAGATTGGGGTTCCGGCTAATGCTATTCAAAGGTAACCAATGGAGACCAAGCCCCTTGGGGCCCACCCCAACAAGACAGAAGAAGTCCAGTCAGACCCAGCCCCGGCTTACCGTTCGTTTTCAGAGCCACAAGCTTCCGAACTTCGCGACACCAGTTGAGCTTCCCCTGGCTTTCCAGGGAAGCCTGGGTGCTTCTGTCGATGAGAGCTTTGTGGATGCTCTCTCGAAACTGCGGGCAAAATTGGCAAGTCCGGAACATTTCCAGGGTGTAGCGGTGCATGGTTTTAAAATGGTGAATGATCCCATTGGTGGGTTTAAAGATATCTTCTGGGGTTCTCTCTCTGATCTTCACAGCTTTCCGCATATTGCTGAAGTACAAAGCCTGAGGAAGGAGTTGTTCTGCCATGGTGCTTGCTCCTCGCCACCTGAAGAGGAGGGACAAAAAAGAAACGCAAAAACCCCATTCCGTTAGCCAGGTTTGAGAGGACTCCTGTGTACCTGCCTGCAGGAAACCCCAGTGTCTGATCTTCTCATTACCCTAATCTTGTAGGCAAAAGATCTTAGTCACCTCGACTCCAGGATACTAGCTGGCCCCACAGATTAACTCACACTGGACTGTTTCAAATTACATCACTTTTAAAGCTTAGTCTAAACAGGAGAAGGAAGGCGGAGAGTGGGTTCTGAGGAGGAGGGGAATAACCCGAGTTTTCAGTAAGGTTTGTCACGGAGCCAAGCCTGTCTGTCAGCAACAGGTACTATGGCTGCTAATCGATTTAAGCTCCCATTTCATTTGGGTGCCACTCCTGGGCAGTCCCTGGATTTGGGGAGCCCTGACTGCCAGTGATGGGCACATCTTAGGCCTGACAGGCCAGTAGCTCCTCCCCTAAGACCACCACCAAGCAATCCTTTGCTCTTGGTCCATGTCTTGTCTTGTAAACACTCCATCCCTCTACTGAAAGGCGTCTACAAAGTTTGCAAACTGCACTGTAAGGCTGTTTGTTACCTGGGCTGCTACGGAGATCTCTGCTCTAGTGCCAGAGAAACATTTCAGAAGAATTAAAATGGACTGTTGGATAATCAGTGAAAAAGTCTATTTGCAGCAAACTGCTTTGCAATTTGTCAGAACCTCCCTGCTGAACTGCGCGGCGCCATCACAGTGAAAAGAAGACAAAGAAAAGAATAATCTAGTCTGCACTACCAAGCGTAGACAGAGGCGCTCCCTTATTTCCATCAAGCAGCAACACCCCCTCCAGATAGCAACACAGTCTGCACATGGATGGAAGAGCCGAACGTGTGGAAGTAGACAAGGAAGTCACGTTCAGCCAGACAACTATAAAGAGGAATTGAGAAGGGTGAATCTATCGAGACAATAACTAGAATCAGGCCCTGGTTGTACAGAGGTTATGTGTTGGACTGCAATCCACATGATCGGCAGTTTGAAACCACCAGCAGCTCCTCGGGAGAAAGACTGATTTTCTTACTCCTGTAAAGAGGTAGTGTCGGAAACCCACAGGGGGTCGCTGTGAGTCAGCGTTGACTCAGTGGCAATGGGTTAGGTTTGGAGGGGGTATGGCAGGGGAAGTTGGGGGTTAATGGGGAAATACAAGAAGGAAGAAAATGTTTTAAAACTGACTGTGGAAGCAATTGTACACCACTTCTTGATAGTGACTGGACTATGGAATTACAGTTAAAAAAAAAAAAAAAGAGGAATAGGAGTAAAGGCCAGCATCTACAACCCAACCCACCAAGTGTGGGATGATGGGAATTGGTAAAGCATGGGATCTTCCCAAGGGGTGGGCCAACAGCCCTCCCCACACACCCTAATTTCCAAGAAGATGACCAAAATAAATAGCCTTCAGAGCATGAAGCTATTTTCTGGGAAGTTTTTCATGGCAATTTTAAAGCCCGCTCTTGCACCATACCATTCGCCAGGACCAGCCTCTGGTTGGGAATGATTTTAGAGAGGAGGTTTTCGGTAGCTTTTAGGGAGGCCACTGCTAATGGGTCTAAGAAAGCCCCACGAAGTCGCCGACGAGGTGTTCTAGAGCCTCTGGCTCACTCAGGGAGGTTGGAAGGCACAGCTCAGAGGGTCTTTCTGAGGTGTTTTCTGGTGATGTTTTGGATTAGGAATCTTCATCTGATTTGCCAGCAGAGGCCTAGACCAAACCAGAGGGTGACTGCTCTTTTGAAGCGAGCAAACCCCTGTAGGTGGCACATGTCTAGTAACTGCAGGACCACAGACACAATCACGAAACACAAATCCCACACATACAACCTACTGGTGGCATGCCAGAAGTCTCTTTTACGAGGCCATTCATTCACTCATCCACCTACCCATCTAACAAGTTCGACCTGAGTACCTACTGGGGACCAGGGACTTGGTTGACTCAGAGGTTAAAAATAAAATCTGACCTTATTTCCCCTCTTTGAAATCAGACAACCACCCTTGTCTGCGGCGTAGGTAGTAGAGACATTGAGGGGCCAGCGCAGGGTCCGATAGCTATCCAGGGGCAGAGGCTGGCCTAGAACCTAGGTCTTGGCGGCCCTGCAACACCACACCTATGACTGTAGTGCCTGCTGCTCTCGGGTGGATTAAACAAGGTTGATACAACCTCCTTTGGCTTGTAGGAGTCTTCTGGGTATCTTTTCTGGGTGGAAAGCTCTGTCAGCAAACATCGAAGTGTAAGTTGTCAGCTATTATAAGACATGTAAATGTCAGTATCTGATAGCCCTCGATCAGCTCATTCATAGGTTTTGTGGATCGTACCTGCAGAATGGCCTCTTTAGTAGAAATGAGAAGCCACTGCCTACATTCCTAGTTCTTGGCCTTCTCTGCACCATCGATAACGGGGCAAAACTTGTTGACGTATGATTGCAATGTCCTGCTAGGCCAAAGGAATCGACAGTACCTTATTTGAGGATAGTTTTCCAACTTTTGTCACTAGGAGCAATGAGATCCTCCAGAACTTATTCATTAAAGTCTTATCCCCCTTCCTAGCCATGTTATGTTTCCATGCAAGGCAGACGTTGATGTCTGTGAGGTGGAAATCTACCAGTTATTTACCAGCAAAGAGCTCATGCGATTTTTGCAAACTACCCTCCAACCACCACCCTAAGCTTGTCAGCAACAACCGCAAACCCCACAGCGGCCTCTCAGACGATGAGAACGGGGCGCTCCCAGCGTCACTCGCATCAGGCACATTGAGAACTGCAGTCCGGCAACACTAATGAATGAACACTGCTTGTCCCCAAGTGCTGCCTGAGACACTCGGCCAGCCTGGCTTTCCACGGCAGAAAGTTCAGAGGCGCAGAGAACTGAAAACAAAGCGGTCTCAAAACGCGCCAATCTCCTTCCATACCACTGCTTTCCTGAGAGGCCAGGTGGCAGGATGTGGGGCGACCTGGGCTGACAAAGACAGTCTGACTGGAGTTGGGGGGCCAGCGGATGGCTCCTCCACTGGGCACAACCCCCCCACCCCAGGGCGGCCGGGTGGTCCGCTTCCCGTGCATTCTTGTCTTTCAGGGCTGCAGCTTTAAAAGGCGAGCCCATCCTCCCCAATGTCCTCTCCCGTACTGCAGCGGGTCTGCAAACGGTCCC